CTTTAATTTCACACTTACGTACATAATTTTGAAATGAGTTAATAGTGCTGTAAAAGATAGTTAAACGTATTTAAATCCTTTTAAAAAAACATTTACAGCAATATAAACTCTGCAGCTTTTCTATTACTTTAAACAGTGACTTTAGAAATAAAATATTTTATTTTATCTGGCGTCAATTACTTACATTTCAAAGATAGCACCTAGTTTTATTTTCTTCTTCACCAGTTTCTGAAGCTAAATATTTTTAATATTATGATTGCGAAAAAAGATTTTGTTTAAATTTCAATCCCGCGAAAAAAGTAATACGAGGGTTGCTATTTATATTTCTGGCCATGGCAACAGTAAGTGTTGCTAGGCGACCGCAGACGATTTTAATCGAAAGTTTGATGTTTTTAAACAAAAATTCAGCTGACGATTTACCATTAAAGCTTCATTTGTGTTGTTGACAGTAAATTGAAAAGTTCTTCTCTTTCAAAAAATGGAATTGAATCGTGAACATTTTCGTGCCATTATTTTTCATAACTTTCGACGTGGATTGTCAAGACAAGAGTGCTTCGATGAACTTAATTCTTTATTCAGCGATAAAGCGCCATCCTACAGCACTGTAAAAAATTGGTATAACGAATTTAATCGTGGTCGATGTTCGATCCAGGACGAATCCCGTGCAGGTCGTCCAAAATCCGTTGTTGTGCCAGAAAAGATCGATGCTGTGCGTGAACTGATAAAGCAAGATCGTCATGTGACATACCGTGAGATAGAGGCGTCTTTGGACATTAGTATGACTAGCATCAATAAAATATTGCATGAACATTTGAGCGTAAAAAAAATTTGTTCGCGTTGGATCCCGCATAATCTGACAAACGCTCAAAAAAAGGCTCGTGTCGATTGGTGCAAGGAAATGTTGGAAAAATACGTTCAAGGTACATCAAAGGCTGTGTATAACATCTACACAGGTGACGAATCATGGATCTATGCATATGAGCCGGAAACAAAACAGCAATCAACTGTATGGGTCTTCCAAGACGAGGCAAAACCAACAAAAGTTGTTCGAGGAAGAAGCACATCGAAACAAATGATTGCCTGTTTCTTCGGCATTAACGGTCATGTGGCAACAGTGGCGTTAGAGCAACGCAGGACGGTCAATTCTGAATGGTACACGACCATTTGTTTGCCAGAAGTCATCGGAGAAATTCGAAAAAAGCAGAAGAACAGGCGAATCATTCTTCATCATGACAATGCGAGCTCTCACACATCGACTCAAACAAAGGCATTTCTGACGGAGCGAAAGATCGAACTGATGGGTCATCCGCCGTACAGCCCTGATTTGGCACCCAATGACTTCTTCTTATTCCCACACATCAAAAATAAATTACGTGGACAACGATTTTCGACCCCCGAAGAAGCGGTTGATGCATTCAAAACGCATGTTTTGGAGTTACCTCTATCGGACTAGAAAAAGTGCTTTGAAAATTGCTTCAAACGCATGCAAAAGTGTATTGATCATCATGGAGAATATTTTGAAAAACAATAAAACCGATTTCGATCCTACATATTTGTTTTTTCATTATTAGGCCAGAAATATAAATAGCAACCCTCGTATGTATGTACCTGTTAGAATTTTTGTAACAATCATTGCAAAATCTATAAAATATGTATTTAAAATTAAAATATTAAAGTTTAAAAATAAGTCGGTGGACATTAGAATACGTTAAAGAATTCCTTAGTAAACAACACTAGTGATCAACTCAAGCGGAACAATTCCTTTTAAAAAATTTTATTTTTGATATGAGCAGGAGGGATTTTGATACAAGATCAAAGGGTTTTTTGGTATCATTATCTGAGACATAACTGAAAATCTGAGAATAAAACAGAAAAATTCACTTACTATATTTTTTAAATCTTTTTTTAAAACAAAGTTACTGCCTGACAAAATTTTATCTCCTTTTTAATAGTACAAAGCAATTAAATCTATAATGCTTCAATGTACAATAATTACAGTAGTTAGCGTATTAATTAAACTTTTCACTGTATATAGTTGTCTAAGTTTTACATAAGGGCTAAATAATAATGTTAGCATATCTGGAATGCTTCAGTACATAATAAATACATTAGTGAGTGTATTAACTGAATAAGGAGTAAATTTTTTTAGGGGGGGGGATTTTCTAATTTCAGCGGAAGACAAATGTGTGGGGTATTTTTCATACAATGGCGTGTGACCACATTTTTCTGCTAAAGGTATAATTAACGATGAACAATACAAGAAAATAATAACAGAAAAAAGGTTTAGAGTGCAATGGATTTTTTCAACACGATTTAGGCTCCCTGCCATGATTAAAAAAATAAAAGCATACTTTTTCAAAAATAAAATGGTTGTTTTAAAGTGGCTGGGAAGTTCTCCGGATCTGAATCCCACAAGAGAAACTATTGGTATCTGCAGGGAAAGATTAAAAAAAATGGAATGCAAAACAAAAAATAGCCTAATTTATTCCAAGGTATGATATATGGATGAAGAAATTAATTAAAACCATGAATACCATAGAAAACGGTTGAATTTAAGACAAAGATAATAAAAATGGCTCTGAATTCAGAGGGGAGGTATATTAATAGTTATTACGAACAACAAAGGGGAAACAAATGGCGAACAAAAATCGAGATCTTTTTAAAGCTATTTTTTTCATTTTTTTTTCTAGCATTATTCTAGACAGAACCTTTCCATTAACAAATCATAAATACAGAAAAAAAACTTTAACCAATCAAATAATTACAGCTTTCTAAGCTCAATTTCCTAAAAATGGTAGCCTAATGCGAAAAATCTTTATGATCTATAAAAGACAGACTAAGAGAAGAATGATGGGATTTTCATTCCAAGTCAAATTGCTTTTCATTCCTTGGCACCTAAACCTTCAGAATTTATAAGTAGAAGAAATGGAAGCTATTTACTTCATCTTATATCAAGGCATCCTACAGTTTTCCCATGCCAGCCAAAGACAGTTTTTTCTTCAAATCCAGCCAACTGGTCATTGAAGAAACATAGCAAAGATCGACAGTAATTAGGACTCATTCTACCAACACTTCTGAATTTCCAGGACTACCCTGCTGAGTTGGCGCTCTCGAAAGGTCACGCTGCTATTTATTTTCTTTTTTTCGAAAAGAATTCTTTTTCAGTTCTTGATTTGGAAGTTTTGTTTGAAAGCAGTAAAGCATCATCTAGCATTTGGTTTTATTATTAAATATTTCCTATATCGTATGTTATTAAATTGCTTAAAATATCATCATTGCAATAGTAATAACTTACTTGGGAATGGAGAATGATAATAACATTGTCCAACATGCTCGGATCAGTTTATTACATTTTTTAAACGGCTCTCATCAGCCGACCCATTCTTAGATTTATGTGAATCAGTGCTCTTCTACGTAGCTTCATAATTTTAAACCCAACCCAGAAGACTAGGTAAATCCTGGATCTGGATCAAACAGTGGGTCTAACAAACCTTCGTGGGGGAATTTTTTGATGGGACTAATCCATATTTGAATCAATTTGAATCACATGGAGTTTAAAATTTCAAAAACTACCCATGGTTAGCCCGATGACAAGGAAATTTTGACCCATTATGCGTCTAATGTAAAATTTATGAAGATAATTTACGTTAACCCTGCGGCCGGTGCGAATCGAGAGCAAAATTCGTATCAACCAGCCATCTGTGCGTTCCGGGTAGCCTGATTGGGAGACTGGAACCCTATCCACCTGAGCCTCCGCGATTCATCCTCGAATCATGTTAGAATTCCGATGAATATGAATTTTTTACCCTTAAATGCCCGACTAAAGAAGTAAAAATTTAAATGGAAATCCCTATTAAGTACCCTCTTAATTTAAAAAATACTACTTATTTGTAAATAATGATGTTCTACCTTAACTCCATCAATGTTTATTCATGTAAAATAATCAAAACTTCTTCATAAACAATGATTATTTTCACACGATACTTTTTTAGTTAATAACAAATAATACTTCTTCGTTAATAAGTTGTTGTAGAGTTATAGTGTGGATGTCAATATGCCGTTGTTAATATCCTTTATTTCAACAATATTCATTAATATGACGTCTAAAAAAAATACGGGGATCGGGCATGCATTTTGTGGACTAACATGTCTCACAAGACATGCAAATATTCTGAAAATTTTTTATTTCAACTCGGGTGTAGTTATAAAATCTAGACAATGTTTAGTAACTATTATTTACATCATTATATTTTATCAGCTAAATAATCGATAATAATTGAAGAGCTTCGAGAAATGTTAACCCATTACGAATTATATTTGTAAAAAGGCTTTACTTTATACTAATGTAATAATTACTTTTCTAAAAAAAGTGATAGGGCATTTATGCGTAAACTAAGTTGTTATTTTTTTAGCTTTGGTTACCACTTAAGCTTTAGAATACGGCAGTTATAAGATATCGTATTCACACATAAAACACTTAAATACAATACAAACATAAAGCTGTTTTATTTTATTAAATCTTTGAATAAAATAGTTTTCAATAAAAAAATAAATAAAAAATTTAACCCATTTTTGCTCTTTGTTGTGCTTTTTTTTCCTGAAAAAAAGATAAAGATTGTAAATTATTAGTTTTATTTAATTAATTTTGTAGATCGTTTAGCAATCGTGTTCAACATAATACATTAATATCATAAATCTATGTTTTGATCTGGGATTATAAAACTGCAATATTTTAAGACCGAAAGTAGCAGCCAACACTGGAAAACATTAAATTAGTCTAAGTATAAATGTACTATCACATTTTTCTTTAAGGTGCTTTTTAAATCGGGAAAAAATGCCATGATTTCGCAACAGTATTCAGTATTGAGTTACACAACATCCTTTACCCTTGTACATTTTAAAATTATTTTTTTTTTCAAATCTTATAATGCTTCTACGTCTCTTATAATGTTTCTACAGAATGTTTTTGAAACAAAACTAATTTCAGCCATATCTTTCAGGATTTCTATTTTCTGAATATTACTGCTAAGAAGATACTCAGAATCTTCAGCTTCTAAATACTATTATTAAGATGATACTCAGAATTTCCAGCTTTTGAATACTACTACTAAGAAGATATTCAGAATTTTCAACTTCTGGATACTACTATTAAGATCATGCTCCAAATTCCCAGCTTCTTGACACTACTACTACGATGATATTCAAAATTTCCATCTTCTGAATGCTACAACAAAGATGATACTCAGATTTTCCAGCTTCTGAATTCTACTACTAAGATGATACTCAAAATTTCCAGCTTCTGAATGCTACAACAAAGATGATACTCAGATTTTCCANATTTCCAGCTTCTTGACCCTACTACTACGATGATATTCAAAATTTTCAGCTTCTGAATGCTACAACAAAGATGATACTCAGATTTTCCAGCTTCTGAATTCTACTACTAAGATGATACTCAAAATTTCCAGCTTCTGAATGCTACAACAAAGATGATACTCAGATTTTCCAGCTTCTGAATTCTACTACTAAGAAGATACTCAAACTTTCCAGCTTCTGAATGCTACAACAAAGATGGTACTCATATTTTCCAGCTTCTGAATTCTACTACTAAGATGATATTCAAACTTTCCAGCTTCTGAATGCTACAACAAAGATGATACTCAGATTTTCCAGCTTCTGAATTCTACTACTAAGAAGATGCTCAAAATTTTCAGCTTCTGGATAATATACAGAATAAATACTACTAGGATTACACCAAGAATATGTAGATTCTGAATGCAAGAACTACGATGATACTCAGAATTTCCAGCTTCTGAATACTGTCACTAAAATGATACTCCGATTTTTAGCTTCTAAATACTACTGCTAAAATGTCAACTACTAACATGACTACTAAAATTGATAATCGTACGGCAATAACAGAAATGTCGCAAGTCATGTGTTACTGTACATAAGTTGGACATCTTTTAAGTCTTATCATCCTTGAAAAAAAAGTGTAAATGATTTAAAATAATTCAAAAACAACTGTGCTAATTTTAATAAATAAGAGCCAATATTGAATCTTTTAATAGTTATTTTCACTCTTTTCTAAGTAACTATTATCCTAAAGCAGTTTTTGGTTGCTATAACTAATCTGATTTTAAATCATTATTTGTTTCATTCAATCATTTTTATCCTAATAACTACCTGGATTAATTAAATTATCCGTTTTTATTCTAAGCAGTATTTTGTCAATAAATTATTTTCTTTCACATGTCATCCAACAGTTGAGATTTGTGATTTTTTTCCAGTGGTAGTGGACTACAATAGAATCTTTTAAAAATAAATAGACTCTTTATGAAATTTTTATCAGAACTTATAAAAATAACGATTTGTCTACTTTTGTGTATCCATTTAGTTACAGCCTTTCTTTCTTTTTTTTTTTTCATTTTTTTTTTTTTTTTTTTTTTTTTTTTTTTTTTTTTTTTTTTTTTTTTTTTTTTTTTTTTTTTTTTTTTTTTTTTTTTTTTTTTTNTATGGCTACAGATTTTTTTAATGACATTTTTAGTCTATTTTTTGCTGAAATGTACAAGTTTTTTTTAAAAAAAAAGTCATATATAACAAAGATTCACGTAAATGTTGAAACAAACTTCTAGTGAAGTTAGGGCACATGATCAGGATTCAAACAGCATGGAAGTCCATGTTCAGAAATATCATACATCATGTTCATGTATATCATGTACATCATGTTCAGAAATATCATGATATCATGTTCAGAAATATCGCTTCCATATCGTGATCTGTTCCTCATAAAGAATTAGTTCATAATAGAGAAACGCCCTTAGCGGCGCATGACGACACTTTCGATCATGTGTTCCCATGGAATTTTAATCGTGATGATGTGCCGCAATTCTACTAGAAGTTTGTCACAACATTTACATGAACTCCTGTTGTATATAACGTTTTTAAACTTGTACATTTCGACAAAAAATTGACTAAAATTGTCATTAAAAAGCTGCAGCTTGAAGAGGAAAACCTATTGTTGACTATTGCAGATTTGAAATGAGTGATACGAAAGTATCTAAGATTTGTCAAAAATTCTCATGCAGCAGAAAAGAACCTATTATCCTGCATGTTTTATGTGTACTGGTGGGCAAAATTCTTTTAAACATAATTTGTAAAAATATTATTACACTATATTTGCAACTAATGGGAAATACATTTTCTAAAACTACACAACTTTCATAGTAGATGGAGGATATGCTTTTTATCTCAATATTATTCCATTCAACTTATTTATCCAATATTATTCCATCCAACTTATTTATCCAATATTAAATGGAATAATATTTTGCTTAATTAATGTGTAATTTTTCATAAAATCGATCTCAAATCTCTTTATAATATGGCACAATTTTCATAATAAATTAAAGAGTAAAGTTATTTACTTTAAACCAAAATATTGCGTTTATGCCCACCTATCAGTTTACAGCATTAGAAACTTTTATGAAGAAATAGCAGAAAATACTTTGAGTTAATTAGCTGAAATATATCCTAGGGAATAATTTTAATAATCCGAAAACCGCAATGCGTTTTGAATTAAAGAGAAAGATGACCTCTCTTTATATTATCTTCTCAACCACTTCTTTATCATTTGCTTTAATAACGCTTAAGTTTCATATTTAAAGAGGGTTTATTGCATCATTTTCAGGTTACTATGCTCCTGCATTCATCGTTTTATTAATATCGAACTTGTCAATACTTAATAGAAAGATTTTACTCTCTTAAACTCTCCTTTGAAGAACGCATTTTTATTTGTTTTGCTCTTTACAAATTAGTAAACATCTTACTTGAATTATTTTATTTCAGTTTATTATTCATTTTTATGCACTTGTGTAATTTTAATTTAGGATTCATTTGAACATTTATATTATTTTATTACATTTTAATATATTTTATTATTAATTTTGTTTCGTTACATTTTAACAAACAGTTGAGAAATTTTGGATACTTGATTACAACTAAAGAATAATTTACCTTTTTACTTTGGTTAAACTAGTTTCAGAGGGGAAATATTAACACGTTGAATGCCATGGGGGTCACCGGTGACCGGCACTGAGTTTGTTCGCAGTGCCACGGGGGTCACCGGTGACCTGTAAAGTCAAGATTATTAGAAACACATAACTCGAGTAAATGTTTAATTTTTTTTATATTATTATCGTTACTAAAATGGTTTGAAGAAATTAATGCAATATAGAACATACAAAAATAATTTTATTTATATACACAGAGATGCCAACTTGCTCCGAACAGCGAATAAATATTTTCAAGTGGTAGTTTATTAATTGTGATTCTTGGTTCAATAAATTCAATTTAGTAGATTTTTATCCACCATTAATTCTAAACAATTCGCAGGCTTATATATTTCGCCACTTTTTTCAGATATGGCATGCTCAACATTTTGAAAAGCCATCAAAATCTGTCTAATATTTTCACGTTTAGTTTGTAGTTACTTACCGTTGTGGCCAGACAGGCAAGACATGTAAAATTAGTGTGACATTCAACGTGTTAAACAACAGCACAATAGCCCTGAACAGTACCATATTTTTCAACCATTTATAGCGAAAAGCTGTCTCCTATTTTAAAATTCATGTGAAGAAATAATTTACTTGCAAAATAAAAACTTCTTTTGCTTTATTTTTGGAATGGAAAGAAGGGCATTGACAATGGGAAGGGGAGGGCGAGAGCCAGAAGCACGAATCCTTTCATCAAAGCAACGAGTTAATATTGAAATATAAAAAACAGGCTTAAAATAAGAAAAGGCAAAATTCCTTAGAATCAATATTAAAAAAGGGAGAGAAACTTAGGTGCCCGAATGAAGCAAAACAGGGCAGAATACACTTCCATGAGCAATGCAAGATCGGGGCAGAAACAGAATCATTGAATCTATTTTAACATATTTTGTCTTCAACTTCTGGGATTATTTGTTTCACTTTATTGCCGTTTTTATAGGCATTTTAGATGACCACAAGGGAGTGCTTGATCTACAATGGTAAATATGCCTACCTTAACCATGAACAAGCTTTCTCATTTTACATCTGTGTAAAGTTTCAGTTATTTAATTAATTTAACAAGTATGAAATTACAAACTGAAAATGAGATAGGAACATTACGAAAAGTAAAAATAAAAAAATAAAAATTATACACGTTTGAAAATAAAATACTGAACGTTTTAAATTGAGTTTTGTTTACAGAGTGTAAAAATATATCAGATAGTTTTATGCAAAAGTCAGGTAACAGTTTTGACAATTTCACAGATTTTCAAAATAATATTTAATTTGTTTGTTTGCTTATTTCTCTCAGTAATTCAGCAGTTGAAGATTTTGTTGCAATCTCTAGCCAGCTCATTAATGTGAAGAGAAAAATAAACGTGCTTTGAAGTGTATATAGTCATTTCAAAGAATTTTTTTTGCTTTTGAAAAATAAAAATAAAAATTTCGATTCTTAGTATATCTAGATGAATCTGATAAGTTACAAAACAAATTTTTAAGTAATATGAAGTATAAAAAATATAGATAAACGCTAGATGGAAATAAGAAAATACCTATTAGGTAATAACAGAGTAGTTAGTATTAACCAATTTATTATTTAATTTCAAATAATTACATTTGAAATGTTAAAGTAATTTGTTATATGAAAGAATTTGTAGAAGAATAGAGCGAAAATAAATCAATTTATTCGAAAGAAAACACGCTTTTAAACAAACTTTCTTACAACATTGACGTAAAACTAATTTATTTTCAATAAAAATTTTCTAACATGATTAAAAAACGATTGTCTACTAGACATCCTAATAAAATAAAAACCCGATAAAAATATCGTCAATTTATTCCAAAATAGAGTGATTATTTTTTTTTCCCTTCGCATATTTAATTCAAACATTAACACACTGGTATTCACAAGCAGCTACTTGACCAAATAAAAAACCAAAAATATTCTTTGACGTGAGTTAGTGAGTTCTTTTTTCGAATTCAATTCTTGAAAAAGCGAAAAATAGTCGTTGTGATGCTATTTAGAAGATCTTAGATGAATCTAAACAATAACTACGCCATTTCCTTTAAAATAAAAAATAAAAAAAGCACATTACGAACGTTAAACGGGAATAAATGAAAAGAAAAGCGAATTTTACTAAATGTAACTCAACAATTTCAAGTACATCTTGTCTGAAGAGGGTTGTTATATGGGTCGGCCATTCATATAGCTGTTGCTAGTCAGGGGAAACAAAGTTCTTTTTTCATATCTGTCAGCCAAACCATTGGAACTGATT